ACGCACACACACACACACACAAGGAGGCTGTCCGAGTAAATGCAGTATATTTCTACGAGGAAATGTGAAGCGATACAATGAACCAGACAGTGGGACGATCAGCCAGCCAGTCAGTCTATAAGCCAATACAGTTAGAATGTACACAGTAGTGTACAGATTTCAAATGACTGGAATGGAAGACATTGATTGTGTTGCAGTGAAGTTAGGCGAATAGACGTACTGAGAGGGAGAGGGAGATAGATAGATAGACAGACAGACAGACGGAGAGAGAGAGAGTGAGAGACGGACAGAGAGCCAGTGTTTGAGTGTTTCTCATTGAAGTGCTGGAAAGAGATGATTTGAATTTGGTGGCCTGATGGACTACTGATTGGATTTCGTGTGGTGGCAATCGTGATGATTGTATTGAGAGTGAGTGAGTTGTGATGTGGTGATGATTGAAGTGAAGATGACATTAACTTCGGTTGTGCGTGTGTTGTGCAGTTAATGTTTGACACGAGGATGATGTTTTTCTGTTGGTGAGATTGTTGGTAGTGAGATGTGGCGTGTGTGTGGCAGTGGATGGTGTGAGCGAGTGAGTGATGGTTGGATGGAGCGACACAATGAGGCTGGATGAGAAATGAGGGCCAATGAACTGGTGGATAGGTGTGCAGAAGCGCGAAACCGTGTGACTGGCCGGCTGTCTGTCTGGCGACATAGCCAGCTAGCTAGCTAGCTAGGTAGCTAGGTGAGAGCTGTCTAGCTGGCATGCTTTGCTTTATTACATGATAATACTCCGTCCGAAGACAGAGGTGAAAAAAATGAGATAAGACTCATTGTATTGTGCCTCCCCACGGAAATCTTTAGTAAAAGGCGAAAGATTTATCCGCAAATGAGGAGACACCAGAGTTATGGAGGCAGCCGTGCACATCGAAACCATACGGCCAAAAAGACGACACCAGACATTCATTCAAACATTTGCACAATAACACTCATCTCACACTGAAAGCATAACAAGCCCACTCACCAACACATCTTAATCAAACCAACCTGAATCGCACACAATATTCTCATCAAGACTTTGCATTATTCTATAGTCACGCACACACTCTAATCCAGCCATCATATATCACGACAACATGCACAACGGTCGCTCATATACTCCATTTGAGTAGTACAGAGAATGTGGCAGAAATGAATCGCCGTCATCGCCACTCACCAAAGCTTACTTACACGAAGGTGACATGACGGTGGGCATCAATGCATGCTTGCTCGCTCCCTTGCCTCTGTGTCAGCATCAATCACACACGAACGCAGGCACACACGCACGCACACACACACACACACAAGGAGGCTGTCCGAGTAAATGCAGTATATTTCTACGAGGAAATGTGAAGCGATACAATGAACCAGACAGTGGGACGATCAGCCAGCCAGTCAGTCTATAAGCCAATACAGTTAGAATGTACACAGTAGTGTACAGATTTCAAATGACTGGAATGGAAGACATTGATTGTGTTGCAGTGAAGTTAGGCGAATAGACGTACTGAGAGAGAGAGAGAGAGTGAGGGGAGATAGATAGATAGACAGACAGACAGAGAGAGAGAGAGAGAGTGAGAGACGGACAGAGAGCCAGTGTTTGAGTGTTTCTCATTGAAGTGCTGGAAAGAGATGATTTGAATTTGGTGGCCTGATGGACTACTGATTGGATTTCGTGTGGTGGCAATCGTGATGATTGTATTGAGAGTGAGTGAGTTGTGATGTGGTGATGATTGAAGTGAAGATGACATTAACTTCGGATGTGCGTGTGTTTTTTTTGTGTCTCTTTATTCTATTGAATTTTTTTATATTTTATTTTGTTATTTATATAGTGACCTGTGATTTGTTTACAAAATTTTTATGATATCTTTCATACCTTTTTTCCTTTATTACTTCCTCGTGATCTCTTTCTCTCTTTTTTCTCTTGTCTGCATGGTTTTTTTTACTGATTCGACGACTGATCATATTCCCGTATCTCATGGGGACTGCAGCTTCCCCATATAATTTTTGAACTTTCAGCGCGTCACTTTTCATTCGGTCGTCGACTTATCAATAACTTGGTGCTTGACGTCACCCAATGGTCTTCTTTAATATGAGTGCGTTCCATCTGCATTTCTTTTGGCATATACCCATATTTAAACGATACACGTAGCTCTAACATAGTCCATGAGAAATGATGACACGCGAATTCTTGAATTGTTCTATATTGTTATCCAGTTGGATCAACAGTTGACGAGCTCACCTTTTAATCTTGATATCCTGGGTTTAATCTCAGGTAAGTTTATTTCTGCGTACAGATGAAGCGTTTTCAGAGTAGACGAAGCATCTTTCCAGTGCTCACCGATTAACATTGCCCAGTTTAATACTTTACAAGTTTACTAGCCAGTCCTAAATCCAGGTAAAAGATAGAAGTTTGGCGTCCGGATAGCGACGTTGCCTCAAAAAATCAACCTTTTAGAAACAACAACCGACCATATTCACTTAATGCTTTAGGCACTTAACACTAATTCAAAGAGGTCTCAGACAAAGAGCGGCCGAGGTTGTTGACGATATTTCAAACTTGACTGGTAGATCTGAGTTAGCACTTAGGACTAGATAATATGAAAATGGTCTATCCCTTATCACCGATCAGTGTATCTAGTATCGTTCTATTTACCATTGGTCGCAGTCTGGATAGGTAATTAATAAGACGGCTTTGAATAATTGAGAGGACGCCACTTTCTTCATGATTATAAATATGCCTTTTGATGACGAGTGCTAACACTGAAGGCGTCTTGCTCTTTTCCTTTCTCTAAGAAGATAATGCAGGAGTTGAATTGAACACTACATTAAAGATTAAACATTTGCGTCGAGTACTCAACTGCTTGTCGTTATATTAAAATCAAAGCCTTTCTACTGACATTCAAATCATATCAAAATCATTTTGGAGCATGTGGAAACTTTAGATTAGGTTATAAATATATTCTAAGTTTAGAAACTTGAGTTGGGATTCATTCTCAATGAATGCCTGTTTACTAGGAAGGCTTTTGTAAGACTGAAACAAAAGTCCAACACACAACCACATATGAATCATCACTTAAATAGTCTATTATTATTATTGTTCCCTTGGGTTCCTAGTGGAACATAGGGCTTCAACTACACGTCTCCACTTACTCCTGTCTTCTACTTTTTTTTTTACCTGCATCCATGTTAGTCCATACTGTTTCAACTCCTCTTCACACGATCTCCTCCATGTCACCCTTCGACGTCCCACTCGCCGCTTCCCTTTCGGGTTCCACTCAAGCATTGGTCTGACACGCGATTTCACCCAGTGGCCTCCTCAGCGAGTGTCCAATCCATCTCCACTTTCTCCTGCATATTTGTTGGGCGATTGGTTCTTGTTTTGTTCGTTCCCATAGTTTCTTGTTGGTGATTCTTTCCGGCCATCTGATCTTGAGTATAGAACCAGCGAAGACAGTTGTTGATGAAGGTCTGCAACAGCCTGTTGGAAATATTCTTTGTGACCCGTTGCCAAGTTTCTGATCCGTATAGAAGAACTGACTGACTTGACGTTTGTATTGAAAATCCGAATTTTGTTGTTGAGTGTGGCTGAGTGACGAAGATTTCCAGATTGTTTTCAGGTTGATGAATGTGTTTCTCGCCTTCCCGATTCTCGATTTGACATCCGTGTCCGTTCCTCCTGTGGTTGAGACAAGACTCCCTAGATAAGTGAATGAAGTAACCTCTTTGAAATCCCTTCCGTTAGCGGTGATTGGCGCTGGATGTTGCCGCTGTATTTAGTATTTAAAAAATACTAAAAATATAAATAGTCTATACAAATCTCGAATTCTAAGGTGATAATTCTTTCGATATCTTAAGAAGGACAACCTTAAAATCTTTTAAAGAACATTCCTTGCAGAATCCTAGATTGTAGTATTTTCTAGTCGGCCATTGCTTTTCAGTAAACCTAAAGGTATGAATCCTGAAGTTGACCGACCCGATATGTTTACCAAATGCGTCGGTGGCACAACGGTTAGGACGCTCGCCGACTATGCACGTGGTCCAAGGTTCGATCCACGGCCGTCGCACTCCTTTACCTAGCTAAGCGAGAAATAAAGCTGGTAAAGAAGAAAGGTTGGCCATGAGGTTAGCAACCCCATCCTTTAAAAATAATCACCAATGCTACAGAAAATTCAAGCCTCAGTCTTGAAGCCTTATGTTCTACTGGGAACGTGAAGGAAAAAGAAAGGGGGGATGTGTTTACGTGCTCCTATGCGATTAGTTATATCGGTCATTACACCTGTGTTCTATCTGAAGGAGTCCGGGAATCTAGGATGTGTTTTTTTCGGCTCCTGTGAATCAAATAAGATATGTTCAACCATCAGGTGTCGTCTAAATGCCCTCGGTAAAGGCTCGAATGTCAGCGAACACCAAAAATTACGGTTTAATAAAATTCATCTACATAAATTTCAGAAAATGAAAGCTGATACAAGGTTGCCTTTTTAGTTTACTGCCCTAGTGGATAGTACGCCGGCGTTTGAAACGATGACAACTAGATTTCAGTTCTATTCGGAACAGCAACACCGACCAGAATGTGCGGACGCTTAGGTGACGAGTCGCAAAGCTCTCCCTAGATTCCACTGCAAGCCGCTGTCAATCAATAAAAGTCAATCCTGATGTAAAAAAGAATTACTGCGTTTGTTAACATTGGATGGATAACAGATGTAGATAAAATGATGGTCCGCCAGCGGTATGTTAAATGCAGAACTGGCATATTTCCTCCTCTCTAGTAAAACTCGAAACTATGCCTCACTCAGTGAATCTAGTGAAGTCACGTGAACGTGTGCCTGCCTGCGTGTGTGTGTGTGTGTCTGTGTGTCGGTATACTCACACGCATAAGTGGTCTTCACTCCAATATTGTATACGTTCTGTGTGTCTATTTATGAGTGGGTGTAACCAAAATGTTATTAAACAGTTCTAAATGCTCATAAAACCATTCACATAAAATTATTTAAAAAAATTCTGTTTAGTAAATTACTCATAAATATACAGACATTGATTGCGAAAGAAACTTCATAAAAAAGACTATAAAAAGGTCAGTAAAATGTAATTGGAATTTACTAAAAGAAAATTCTCTACATTTGTTTGTTTGTTTGAAATTTCAAATTTAACAGTTTTCGCGGATATTTCAAAATCGAACGCCACATTTAATAAAAGGAAACACAATCTTCTTATCTGATATTCATTTATTATTTGAAAAAAGGAGAAATTCAACAGACGGATTCTGATAATCATGGTTTTGAAACTGGGCCCTGATAATCCACCGATTGTAATCGATAATGGTACTGGATTACTAAAAGTTGGTTATGCTGGTGAAATGGAACCTCGAGCTGTTGTTCCTATGATACTTGGTCGACCAAAACACATGAAATTGATTGTTGAACAAAATTTAGATGAATGTTTTATTGGTGATATATCTGGGGGGAAAAGAGGTGGACTTACCTTATCCTATCCAATAATGAATGGTGTAGTACAGAATTGGGATGACCTTGAGACAATATGGCAACATGTTTTCTCCAATGAATTACGTATCCTACCAGAGAATCATCCTATGCTATTGACTGAAACACCGTTGAATCCAAAAGTGAATCGTGAAAAGATGGCTGAAATTATGTTTGAACAATTTAATGCACCAGCTATTTATATCTCCATTCAAGCTGTCCTCTCACTGTATGCTTCTGGTCGTACGACTGGTTTAGTGCTGGACAGTGGTGAAGGTGTTACACATTTGGTTCCTGTATTTGACGCTTATGTGATACCGACAGCGATACATCGAAGAAACTTGGCTGGACGAGAAGTTACCAATCATATGAAACACTTGCTCACTGAAAGAGGTTATAAATTTGTTACAACCTGTGAACATGAAATAGCCCGTGATGTAAAAGAGAATGTCTGTTATGTGGCAATGGATTATGAGAAAGAATTACAACTTAGCCAACAAGATAAACGATCCTGTGAAGTGTCCTACCGTCTACCTGATGGTCAAGTATTAAATATCGGTAATGAAAGATTTCGTGGCCCAGAGTTAATGTTCGATCCAAAGTTAGCTGGTTATGAAATGAATGGGATACATATGGCTACAAGTGAAACTATCTCTCTGTGTGGTATGGATGTTAGAAAAAGTTTTTGGTCAAATGTTATTCTCACCGGTGGGACTACAATGTTTCGTGGTTTCCCTGAACGTCTACGAAAAGAGTTGTATCGATTAGCGCCAAATGGTGTAAAAGTCAAAGTGATGGCATCGCCTGAAAGAAAGTACTCCGTTTGGATTGGTGGTGCTGTTCTAGCCTCATTAAGTACCTTCAATAATATGTGGGTCACTAAAGAAGAATATGAAGAATTTGGCTCAGAGATTGTACATACAAAATGCGTTTAAATACACGGGCAGATAATAACTGTGAATAGATATCAAATTTGAAACTCAATCTATTGTTACGGGATATATTATTCAATCCAAGTAAATCTGTGTAAACTCTTTTACATAGAGAATCTAATTCCATTTAAATAAGCCACACTTCATACGAAACTAGAATTGACAAGGTGATAAAATTCTGTTTTAAAATTTACACTACTCATGAGTAGCTTGTTTTAAATTCATGAAATTGTTTAAAGTGATGATAATATAAATAAAGTTATTTGAAGTATTATTTGCCCATGGCATAATTTGCTTTCTGCATTGTATTCCATGTTGTAGTGAAGCAGAACATATTGACTTGGTTGCTTAGAAGTGGTGTGATTGTGACGTTATTCATGTAAACAGTTTCTTATGTCTGAACCATATACTACTAATAAGTTGGGATGATTAGGCGTATGTCACTCACATTAGCACTAGACATCAGCCTAGCTCGCCTGGGACTGAGTTCACCAACTATGTACGCAGATTTACTCCACTTCAGGGAGGTGAATCAACTCACAAACCAGCCGACTTCTCAACTAATCAGAAGTAAGTAGTCTTGTGGATTTACGTTCGGTTTCTTAATTACCATTTATGATAACAAGCAGATGACTTATTGTGATCTGAACAGTCTTGATTTTCAAAGAAAACGATGGTGAAATAGTCACCTCGAAGTGTGTTGATTGTGAATTCTTTCGCTAAAATAAAAAACCATTCTAGTAACGGACAGCATAATTTGTTCACTGGATAACTTTTGAATTTAAGGGTGATATCGAGGCTGAGATACTGAAGAACCACCTGACCAGATCGTTGAGAGAATCCTTCTTTATGGACTTTATAGGATGCTTCATGAAATATTTATATATGTGTATTTATTAGCGTACAACTTGAGAATAAGTTCGTTGAAATGAGACTTTTTGCTGAATCAACTGTTTAGAATTTCTACATGTCAAATCCATCTCTTCATTTTCTCTGGCATCTTTGTTGGGCAAAATGTTTTTGATTAGTTGATTGTTGGAGATCTTTGCTGCAAATTTTTCCCTCGCTATTTTATCTTTTTGGTAGAGAATCAGCGAAGACAGGTACTAGTTGAAAGTCTGAAGCCGGTTAGAAATGCTTTCGGTGCCTCGGCGAGTCTCTTAAACTTATAGAAGTACTCACTAAGTCGACACTAGTGTTGAAAATCTTCTTTCCTGGTTGTCAGTAACTTTATAGCATTGAACACTTCTGATATTGTCGCAGAGTACCCGTTCACTAGCATTTTTTTAGCTTGTTGGTGCTATTCCTGGATGGGTCTGAGATGGTATCAGATTCAGAAGTCCTTTTGAAGTGATCAGCACAGCGTATTCTTTGCTTATTCTCCGTGGTTTAATTAGGTTCCCTTTGCTATCTATCATTGGTTTCATGTGTGCTGATCTCTTCTCAAATAACCACCTGAATAACTCATATAGTAGCCTGATGTCCTTCTTCCCTGCGGCATGATCTGCTTCAGTTGCTAGTGTGCCATATTACTGTAGATTGAATTCAGATTCTCCTTTCGTTATCCATTTTTGGGGTGGTTTATATTCTATTTCACCGTACCTTCTTCCTTCATGTCTATAGAGAGCCATTCTTTATCTTGTGTCCACCTTCTTGTGATTGAGATTGCATCTACCTCATTTTCGGAGTATCCATAGTGATTCACATGTCGTTTTAGGCATAATCTTCTGCTTATAATCGTGCCTCCAGTAATTACATCATTGAAAGCTTGGAAGTCTGCAAAGGGTTTGTTGAGAAAAGTGTTTTCTGGCTACAGGATTTTATAATGAACTGACAGTGTTCAGAGAACCATTGGAAGACCAGCTGGGAGTACTAAACGGCTGTTTTTCGCTAGTTTGGGACTCTTCATCAGTACGCACCCACCGCCACGATTCGAACCCAGGACCTTCTGGTTACAAGGTGAGCTCGTAGACCTTTAAGCCACTGGGACCCGATTCAATGGCCCATGAATTCTAACTTCTGTCAATTCACGACATAACACGACAACTAGCCAATGTCTTCGGCGAGTATTTGTCGTCACACTCTACCTGGTGCAATCTACTGGTCACGACTTCCCACTAGAACCCCAGGTTCGTACTGATGAAGAGTCCCAAACTAGTATGAAACAGCTGTCCAGTACTCCTAGTTGGTTTTCCAATGGTTCTCTAACCAATTTCAGCTCATGATGAAATCCTGTAACCAATCGATCAAATCCCTACAAACCAATACTTAAAAAGTGTTTTTCTTGGTTGAGCCAGGAAGCAGTTTCTTCAGTCTTATTAGACTATCTTTTTTAATTCTTTACGTTCCGAGTGGAACACAGGGCCCCAAGCTCCGGTAGCAATGGTTTATTTTTAAGGGGTGGGGTTGCTTGCCTCATGACCAACACTTCCCTCTTTACGTCCTTACTGGCGACTTAGAGAGATACAGGAGTAAGTCCTCTGGGGATCAAACCCCGGACCAAATGCATGGTTGGCGATCATTATATCACTGAACTTCCGAAGCACAGGACATCAAAGGATATGTGAAGAATGAAACTGTCACTTTATCCCACTACACTGAGTAGCTGTGTAAAACTGTAGGTGCTGTGATAACTGAGCTTTCTTTTAGTAGATTTCATTAGGTCTTTTGGTACTCTAGTAGTCTCAATGACCCTGAACTGCTATTTTGACATATATATCTAACCTCCCAATCATTGCAAGTAATTCGATAGACTAAATTATCTTGTCTAGTGGACTGCACGTTAGTCAGCGGTTCAGTGGCAGAATACTCGCCAAAAATTGCACATCGTCCGGGGTTCAATCCCCAGCCGACGACTCACCATTAAACCTTACTGGTTAGCCGGTAGTTAGCTCGGTAGGAAGGGAAGGTTGGGCTTGAAGCTATAAAAAAATAAACTCCACTCCTAATAAAACTTCAAAGCTCAAGTTTGAAGTCCAATTTTTCACTTTGAAAGCAAACGAATAAAGTAGAAAATGGGCTTCACATGATCTTTCAACCGACAGAGTTGAGTACGTACGACTAACTAGTAATTATTATCATTATTAATATTCCCTTGGATTTCGAGTGGAACATAGGTCTTCAACAACACATATCCACTTTCTTCTATTTTCTGCTGTCCTCTTCATTTGGCCAGCCATACGACTGCCCATAATCTCTCATTTCCTCCTCTTCTCCACACGATCTCCTCTGTGTCACCCTAGGACTGATGACACACTCGTTGCTTCCGATTTGGGTTCCACTCGAACGATGGCCTGCACTGGGCGTGATGTCATTCGACGGCCTCCTCAACGTGTGTTCCATCTATCCATCTCCATTTTCTGCTACATATTTGTTGAGCGATTGGCTGTCGCCTGTTGGTTTGTTCCCATGGTTTCTTGTTGCTTATTCTTCCTGGCCATTTGATGTTCAGTATGAGGCCATCGAAGGCAGCTGTTGATAAAAGTCTGCAACAGGTTTCTGGGAATCCTCTTCGTGACATACAGTGAACGTTTCTGATCCGTATGGAAGTAGTGATTGACTGACTTTACACTGGCTTTGAAAATGTGAATCTTATTTTTTATGCCGGCTGGGTACAGAAGATTTCCAAACTGATTCCAGGTTGATGAAGACGTATCTTGCCTTTCCGATTCTGGCTGGTTGGCTTTGACACTTTTATCCATTCTGCCCGCCTGTGGTTGAAACAACAGTGAACTAAGGTCTTTAATAACAGTAATAATTGCTTCACTCTGAACAGTGTCTACGCAATGTACTGCCTAGTGCGTCGGTGGCACAGTGGTTAGGACTCTCGCCGACCATGCTCATGGTCCGGGGTTCGATCCCCTGCCGGCGCACACCCGATATCTATGGTCGGCCTGAATTTGGGCTACCGATATCCATGCTGAAAATTCCACACTTGTACTGAAAATACGGTGTGGAATTAAGCTGTAAATCAAAAAAAATAATAGTTCCTCTTTGTCAAGGAATCGCGTGACACATTACTGTTTGATGTGAAGCGAAAACCAATTCCCTGCCTTTTTCAACATATGCACAACGTTTGGTTGGAAGCCAATTAAAAAAACGGTGCTGGAGTACATTTTTTTACCCAAACATATAATAAAATCTTGAGTATTTGAAGACTGCAGGTAATTAGTTTTATTCCTCAGGCAGTGGCAGTTAGTAACAAAAATTCAGGGACAATTATCTCATGTAGTAGAATACGTTGCCACCCATGAATTTCATTTTCCTTAAGTTTTGTAGAAACTTGCGAATTAGCAGGCTGTAGACAGTTTAAATACCGAGGAGAGTAGAACACAGCAATGGAGGCCATATTTTAATAGATTGCAAAAGACTGAAAAAGAGAAATAAGCAATATTATAATGGAGTATTTTGTTATCGCAGGTTTTAAACAGGCTGCCATGAAGATTAGATAAACATAGCCTCAAGAAAATGCAGGACACGCATGACAGTTATAAAACAGCGTTTCTAAGTTGATTTCCTTGACTGTGTTGATAGATACTGGAAAAAACCTGCTATACATCCATTCGCTTATATCCAACTGCAGGAGTTGGGACTCTATTTGAAATAACCTCCTTGAAAGACTCTGAAACCTAATGAGAAACATACGATTCAGCCCAGTATATGGATCAACCACTGCTAATGTTAATGCGAATAGGAAACTCGCTTTAATTTAGAAAATCACCTGAGAGGTACTCTGGATACTGTAGTAAGCTAATCTGTGAACGCTAGGCGGCATACATATGTTCAAAGTCCATCAGGCTTTATAATCATATACTTACGAGGACTCATCTATTTCACCTAAGGATTCCATATCGAGCTAGGATCTTTCGGTCAGTGAATAGCGATGCATGTTAGTTATATAATGGATAATCCAAGTGCTCAAAAGATCCTCAGTGTATATGTATTTTTACAGTGACAGCAGCATACTAGCCACTCCATCTTCGAACATTTTGTCAACTCTGGACATCAAGCACCCCCGCATGAATGCTTTACAGCGCTACACACAGTCCTTCAATATCGTACGAAAGGACTTCGAATACGCCATCTGTACATTACCGAATTATTGGCTATTCGGGATCTGAAACCGGAACTCTGCATTCAAAAGCATCACATACATTCCCTCACGTTTTCGAGGACAAATTTTACCAGTATCTGATTGGTCTTATGTTCTATTTTTTAAATGTAATTACGATTGTACAGTGGCCCATGAAAATGAATCGTCGAAACGGGGAAATTTTCTTCTCTA